AAAAAAAAAAAAAAAAAAAAAGCACTGCTATCAAACGCTAACGTTACAGGAGCATTTTCTCCTGAATTCCTGCATTAAGGTGTCTGCTCAGATCAAAGTGGTCTTAGTCTGCAGTTTCCAGCTGCTCCTCTGCTCATCAGGACACCACTGATTGTGCCAATGACCACGAGAGAAATATCACTGACGGGCAAGTCAAGTGCCAGATGCCTTGTTTATAAAACTGACTAGTGAGGAGGTGAAAAATGCAGGGCTCCCTATGGAGAAGGGTGTTAGGATGCCCCAGAGGTCAAGGAGAGTGTATGACTCCCCTGGGGTAGGACAGCCATAGGGGGACATGAGCGAACCAGGGCTCAAGGGGGAAAGGATACCTCAGCTACCTGAGGGCGGCAGGTCCTCACTACTTTATCCCACGGGAAAAATCCGGTATTAACTCTACTTTTTCTTCTCCCTTTGCATCAAAATAGACAGGGATAACGGCAGGATAGGTGGGATGAGAGGAAGGACTGGCTTAAAGGGAGGACCAGGGAAAAGACACAGTCCTTGCTTATGGTGGAATCCTAAATTCCGCCATGCCCCAGCAATATTAGACTATATCCTCGGAGGTCTGTTTTAATCTTAACACGGGGACAATGATAAAATCATGGAAGTCCAGTTTGCAGAATGCAGAAGACTCTCCCGAGGGGAAAGGCCGCTGTTTGGAAAAGTACCGATGTGGGGCTGCCTTGTTTGCGGGTCTCAATGTGCCCCGGTAAAGCTGGCCTGGCTTCTCAAGGCAACCCGCAGGCCACAGGCCAGTCCTGCACCGTGGCGCAGTGCACTCTGGAATCAGTCCAGAGTTGGAATCTAAAGCTGCTTGGAAAGGAAGTGTGTTATGTGACCAAACTGAGAGTTTTATTTATCCGCTAAACGAATGTCATGCTCTTTGAACTTGATCCTGTCTGCAGTAAGAGGGGGCACCACGCTGGCTGTTCTGATGCGTGTGGGCCATCCGGCCTGATCCAGACGAGATAATCTGTCAGATGCCAGATTTGGAAATGGTTCACTTGATCTTTTAAATTCTCTTTCCACTTAAAACAAATTTGCTTCTTCATGCTCATCTGTACTGAGTCTTACTTGTGCATGAATATACTTTATAGAAGAGAGCAAATGCAAGGGTTTAGCCAATAAAAATAAAAATACAGTTTTAAAAAAAAAAATCTTTTTTTCCCCCCTGAGACAGGGTCTTGCTCTGTCACGCTAGGTACAGTGCAGTGGCATCATCATAGCTCAGTGCAACGTCAAACTCCTGGGCTCAAGCGAACTCTCCTGCCTCAGCCTCCCGAGTAGCTGGACTACAGGTATGCACCACCATACCCGGCTGATTCTTCTATTTCCTGCAGAGCTGGGTTCTTACTCTTGCTCAGGCTGGTCTTGAACTCCTAACCCTAAACAATCCTCCCACCTTGGCCTCCCAGCGTGCTAGGATTACAGGTGTGAGTCCCCCCAAATCTTTACTAAGGTGTGATTGATATAAAACAAATTGTACATATTTAAAGCATACAATGTGATAGGTTTTAACATATGTGTATTTATACCTGTGAAGCCATCACCACACTCAAGATAATAAACCTACTAGATTTGGTTTCAAGTGACAATTATAGAATAATTTGTGGACTTACAATTCATGTAAGAATGAAGGCATATGTATACATCTGAGTTATCTTTGATATTTAATCTCTTTGCCTTATGAAGCCAATTATGATAATACCAATTGCTTAGGAAATCTAGAGAGGGAAAAACCCCTGAACTGAAAACCTGTGTTCCTGTGCTGTGCTAACACAGTCAAGCCAATTCCCAGAGAGGCCCGGCTTATTTTTCTAACCTCATACACTTGTACATTAATGCACAAACTGGGAACGTGGCCTAATCCAGTGATGAAACACAGTAAAGGCCTGCAGAGAAGCCCGGTGCTGTGGCCTGATTTTAATTTGCAGTCAGCCTGGCCTCTGCTCTAACCCCTTCTCGCCTGTGTTTCCTGCCCTTAATTATATCTCTGGTTTCATCTTGGGAGGCAGAAATGAACCACCAAGGGGATAAATAAAATTCTATGATGTCATTCATAATGTGCTCTGTTCAAGTTGCGAGGCAAAAATGCACATGCCCATCATAAAATGCTAACTAGTCAATTAAATCCATGCCATGGAAGAAATCAATGGTGCCTGAAGGTTTCACACCACGGAGAAAGCTCTGCTGTCCTGCCTGTGAGAATGCCGGGCGTGGGCTTCCCACTCACCTGTCCCCTCCCTCAGACATCACCTGCTTTGGTCCTTTTCAAAAGGCTTTAACGACTTCACTAACTCTCCTTTCAGAGAGTCAATCTGAAAAAGTCAAATTAAATACTTCAAGTTCTTTTTTTTGGTAGAGACAGAGTCTCACTTTATCGCCCTCAGTAGAGTGCTGTGAAATCACAGCTCACAGCAACCTCCAACTCCTGGGCCCAGGTGAATCTCTTGCCTCAGCCTCCCAAGCAGCTAGAACTACAGGCACCTGCCACAATGCCCGGCTATTTTGTTGTTGTTGCAGTTTGGCCGGGGCTGGACCAAATCTGCCACCCTTGGTATATGGGGCCGATGCCCTACCCACTGAGCCACAGGTGCTGCCCTAAATATTTCAAGTTTTAGTAAGTAACACATACACCTAAAAGGGTAAGATTGCACATTTTTGTCAATTTGAAAATAACAGTGGCAAGTCAGGAACTAACATTTGACATGAAGACTTCTTTTTTTTTCTTTTTTAGAGACAGAGTCTCACTTTATTGCCCTTAGTAGAATGCTGTGGCATTGCAGCTCACAGCAACCTCCAGCTCTTGGGCTTAGGTGATTCTCTTGCCTCAGCCTCCCAAGTAGCTGGGACTACAGGCACCTGCCACAACGCCCAGCTATTTTTTCGTTGCAGTTTGGCCGGGGCTCAGTTTGAACCTGCCACCCTTGTTATATGAGGCCGATGCCCTACTCACTGAGCCACAGGTGCCACCTGACATGAAGACTTTTTAGGATAAAGAAAACAATACTTGGCTCGGCACCTACGGCTCAAGTGGCTAAGGCGCCAGCCACATACACCTAAGGTGGCGGGTTCGAATCCAGCCCGGGCCCACCAAGCAACAATAATGGCTGCAACCAAAAAATAGCCAGGCATTGTGGTGGGCACCTGTGGTCCCAGCTACTTGGGAGGTGGAGGCAGGAGACTCGCTTGAGCCCAGGCATTGGAGGTTGCTGTGAGCTGCGATGCCACAGCACTCTACCCAGGGGGACAGCTTGATGCACTGTCTCAAGAAAAAAAAAAAAAAAGAAAACAATACTTAAGTTGCAAGCAAGTCTTTAAAATACCACATGTCTTACGTTTGTGTACCTATATGTAGGTTTGGAGGGACTTTAGTAAGGCACAAAAAATCATTGCAATATTACATAGTCTCATTTGATATTAAAGCTATTAAACTGTGGCTGGCATTCTCTGACTCCTTTTCTCTCCCCTAGTTCCCCTCTCTGGTTCCCTGCTCTCTTCTCTCTTTCTCATCTCTTCCCTCCACTCTCTTCCCTCCCTCTCTCTCTCTCTCTTCTTTTAGAGACAGAGTCTGACTTTATTGCCCTCATTAAAGTGCTGTGGCGTCACAGCTCACAGCAACCTCCAACTCCTGGGCCCAGGTGATTCTCTTTCCTCAGCATCCCAAGTAGCTGGGACTATAGGCACCCGCTACAACTCCTGGCTACTCTTCCCTTTCTCTTATATAAAATAAACTTACACTTTCATATCCTAAAAAAAATTATAAAACTATACGCTTTTTCCCTTTAATTAAAAAAAGCATCTGCAGACAGAGATTAATAATCTGTCATGATTCTAAACCAGTGAATTGTTTGATGTACACTGAAAAAAAAGGAATATGGTGTATGTTTTGCTAAATAGGAAAGAAACTGGTAAAGCAGCAGTTGAGTAGAGGACAGAGAAACACACTTTGTGGATCAGGTCAGCATATTCACCGACATAAAGTAACAGTCACATACCTCTAGTATCTGGTCCCCAGCCCACAGTCGCCCATCTCTGGCTGCCGCTCCTTCCTCATACACTTCATGTATCACGATGGCATCCTTTAGAAAACATTCTTATTAATTTTCAACAACCACCAATGTTCCCTTAAGCAAACAGCCAAACCACAGCCAGTGACCCATGATTTGCTGTTTGCTAATAACGTTAGATTTTATTCTACATAAAATACACAGTTACGATACATCCAGAGGTATAATTACGTTTTCCTAAGATTATTATTTCATAATCATCTCTAGGTCTGGCTTTGCCTCATATTTCATGCCCAACCTCTCCCCTGGGTTCCACTGCTAACCCTGTACTTTGCTGCGGTGTCTGAACTTGAGGTGAACTAGGCATCGTTCTTATTTATGTTTTATTGTGTAGTTTGAAACACAGTTTCATGGCTTGGCGCCTGTGGCTCAAGCAGCTAAGGCGCCAGCCACATACACCTAAGGTGGCGGGTTCGAACCCAGCCCAGGCCCGCCAAACAACAATGATGGCTGCAACCAAAAAATGGCCAGGCGTTGTGGCGGGCGCCTGTAGTCCCAGCTACTTGGGAGGCTGAGGCAGGAGACTCGCTTGAGCCCAGGAGTTGGAGGTTGCTGTGAGCTGTAATGCCACGGCACTCTACCCAGGGGGACAGCTTGAGGCTCTGTCTCAAAAAAAAAAAAACAAAAAAAAAACACAGTTTCAGGTATTTATTGGTATTCAAGGATTTGGCATAGATTTGTGGCCTGATGGACGGGATTTGCCAAGGCCTCATTACTCGGGCAATGAAAGAAAAGAAATTATTAGAATGAGCTGGCCCTGGAGGACGGGGCCCAGAACAGGGGAAAAGCACAGACTGACCTGAGTGTGAGATAGCTGAGGGTTCAAATCCTGCCTCTGACATCTTGTTGTCTTGGGTAAATTATAACTCCTCTGAACTCAGGGTTCTGAGCCATAAAATTAGGACAGCAATGTGCGGTAGATAAGCTTTGGTTGAAAAAAGTGTTTGACACTAATGAATTAAAAAATAATTTTTATCTCTTTAAATTAATAATTTTTTTTGCAGTTTTTGGCCGGGGCTGGGTTTGAACCTACCACCTCCGGCATATGGGGCCAGTGCCCTACTCCTTTGAGCCACAGGTGCTGCCCATAACCTTAAACTTTTTTATCATCATTAAAATAACATGGCTCAATGTAAAGGTCTCCAGCTGCATCACCAAAGGATGCCACACACGTGTAGGGGGCTGCCTCCCACGCAGGGGGAGGCCCATTCTTCAGAGACAGTCACCACTGATACTTTCCTAAGGTTCTCTCTAGATAATTTACATTTATACACCCAAATATTTATGTGTTTTCCAATTCTAGCAGCTGTAGCTTTAAAAGACAATTTATATATTTTGGTGAGACTATTCTAAATATATATATATCTAAAACTACTGAATTACCTTATTTTTTTATTTATTATTTTTATTTTTTTGAGACCAAAGTCTTACTCTGTTGCTCTGGGTAGAATGTTATGGTGTCATCATAGCTCTCAACAACCTCAAAGTCATGGGCTCAAGAGATCTTCCTGCTTCAGCCTCCTGAGTAACTGGGACTACAGGCACCCGCCCCCACGCCCAGCTTGTTTCTCTATTTTGTGTAGAGATGGGGTCTTGCTCTTGCTCAGGCTGGTCTCAAACTACTGAGCTCAAGTAATCCTCCTGCCTGGGCCTCCCAGAGTGCTAGGGTTACAGGCGTGAGCCACTGCACCCTGCCTTCTAAAAAATAGAGTGAGTTTGCTCATGCTGTTTTTTCCCTCTTCCCCCCATGCTGGTGAGAAAGTACTCAAGCGTCAAAATTCCATGCTTCAGAGATTACTGTGGAGCTGAAAACTGAAGCAACCAGAAGTCACTGGCTCTTTCTGTTTTTGTTTTTTTTTTTTTTTTTT